CAGAGTGTAACTAGAGTTCCTCTGACTGGCGGTTTGCCTCTTTTCCCTAAGCATGGATAAGGACAGGCCGCACTCAGAGATACACTATCTGCGGCTTCTCCACACACCCACTCGTCTCTCTGCGTATCTGCCTGTACGCTGGAATGCGTGGAATCCTCTTGGCTGCTTATCAAAGCCAGTCATCTGTGCGCTTGCGTGTTTGCAGTAACAGTGAGAGAACTGGCCTTGTTTGTGGAGCGGGCAGCTTTTTTGCATTGTAAATAGTGCTTTGTAGGGGATTATATCCCTCCCTGTTAGGTTTTACTGTTTGACTGATCCAGAGAACAGTGTGGTTGATCACATCCTGACGCTGTGTGGGAATCTTCAGTAGCAAATCATACCTGCTGTGCTCTACAGCTAATCCGGCCTACAGGTACAGACAAGGTTGGCACGATAGTAAAAATTTTGACTCCAGTGCTGGTAGTAAAATGTTACAATGCTCGGTAACAAAGCGCTACTGGCAGAAAAAAGGAAAAACACTCATTTTCTGAAGGCACAATGTTTATTGCATTGAACAAAATATATTAAAAGTGCAATCATTTTATCTATAGATGCACCGTTTATGAGTTATTGTGGCAAATTCAAATTCTGTTTTCTTGACAGCCCAATTGATCAATGGCGAATTATTATTATTTTTTTTAAAATGAACACCACATTTCCAGTACTTCGGTAATTCCAGTAGTTAGCCAAAGTCACAATGTGAGTAATATTACTTACTGTTCAAAGGGCCAATCTGAAAAAAAAACTGAAAAATCAGTTGCGTATTTAAATATCATGGATCAAATGAAGTGCTGCATTGGCAGTAATAGGCAACTGGCTATTCAGCAAAAGCATTCATGCCTTATTGAATAGCAGCAGCATTCAAATACTGAGGCCTGGTTCACGTCATATACATCATAAAACTGCAGCGTAAATCACCCAAATATACATATACCTCTGTGTGAGTGATCTTCATAATGAATGAAATCTGGAAGTAGGTGACAGAGGCAGGTTGTAGAAGAGCATTTGGCTAAGTGCTTCCACCCCCTGCTGGTGTCTCTGAACTTTTGCTTGCAGCCGAGCCGGCCTAATTTGCTGTTAATAGGCAGTCAGTTCCCAAGTGGGGCCAGAGAAAGAGACTGAGAGCCCCTTATGCACTCTCCTCCAATAATGCAGTCAGTGTCTTCCTGGAATAGAACATGTCCTGTCCTTGCCTCTTGCGGAGACATTCTTTGCTCTGGTTAATACGTGACCGTTAGCGGAAGAAGATAACTGAGAGCGCTCTGTTTATGGCCAGGGCTTTAGTGCACACTCCACTGCAACTGCTGAATGCATGCTACATGATGAATTATGCACAGTTTCCAAATCACGAGTTTTCCAAATAGAAGTGTTGCGCATTGCATTATGATTTTCCTATTCATAAGCCAGCCAAACTGGTTTAGACTGTCAGTAGCTCTTTTTTTAAACTGCTTTAGAAATTATATTGTGCATGTGTTAGAGATGTAAAAGTGTTGTGATGCATCAGGTGATGATTCAACTGCACTGATTTTGGATGTTAGGCATAAATTCCATCCACTCTTAGAAGATTTCCCAACGTCAAGAGTCTGAAAGGATGTGGACGAGGACAATTTTCATTTAGATGCGAAAACTGGACATCTAAGAGATGGACTGATGAGTAAAAGAGTGGATATATTAAATACTGTTTATTTTATACTAAGTTGTTAAGGCTTCACTGTAATTTTCTGTGAAATATGTTCTCTGTTTTTTGTCAGTCTTAAGGGGCTGATTCAACTGCATTGATTAGAACCCGTCCTCATCAATTTTTAATAATATTCAATAAAGTAGGTTCCCTTTTGTGGCCTAACTAAAATTCTCAGCTTATTTTCAAACATTTAAATCCAAAGGATTTGTATTCCATGTTAAGAGTAAATAGTTCCTTCAGTCTTATCTGTGTAATGATTTGAATTGTGGTTTTACATTTCCTCGCCCATTAAATCATTTCCTGTATTGAATCAGTGTTAGATCTGATTAGTATAAAGTGTGAGGGTGCTGGTTTATGGTGTTGGAGGCTTTATTAGGAGCTTATACTTCTCTCAGTCACTCCAGCTTGCTGATAGAATGGCTCAGGCCTTCTCCTCTCTTGACATGAAGTTAATGCTTTAGTGTGCTCTGTTTTGCTGTGGCACAGTATAAGATTTAATTAACTGATTTTTGTTTGTTTGAGACTCCACCGGAGCATTCAGCTTAAACCTGCAAGCTTCACTTGGAGGACTCCGTCTCAGATGGTGAATGCGCACCACTGATTTATATTCTGTTTCAAATGGGAGGGATTCAAACAGAAGGGAAGGAAGAAGGTTCACAAGGCCTCATGAGGTGGTTGCGTCCATGCGTGGGTTGCAGAATGGATGGTAGGTTGACTGGGGGGGAGGGGAGGTAAAGCCTGTGTTATTTAAATTAGGGATATTAAAGGTGGGTTGTGAGTCATTTTGAGGCTGCAGTGCTGCTGTCAAACCTTGCTGCATCCTTGCTTGCTGATGTTTTGGTTGGCATTGCTCTCCATATTCTGCACAATTGATTTGCTGACACAGTGGCTGGGGTTCTGGGGTCAATGTAAAACTCACTTGGACTGTTTGGAAGGGTTTGTGTCCTTCTATTGGTACCCAGCAATCTCACAACCTTTCCAGTATTGTTATAGGGTGAAGGAGACTGTTAAGAGTGTTGTTGGCCAATCACGGACATATGCTGGGACACATACATGTTGGGCAGCGTCTACTAATGGCTGATTTTTGAAGAATGTTGTCAAAAATAAAAGCACTGGAATACTCTTTATGTTCATATGATGTTCTGTAGTGCATTCCAAGCATTCTCATTATTGCGCAAGCTGCCGCTTTAAAAATACGGAGGAACCATGTGCTAGGCCTCACATTCCTGGGTCAGTAGCTGTTATGTGGTGGAGCGAGACCAAGCTAGCATATGGGAATTGGCCATGCCTAAATTGGGAGAAAGTTGGCTTACATCTAAAAATAAACAAATAAAAATATCATTAAATTTTAAGGAAGAAGTACAGTTTGAATTCTTCATTCCAGTGGTGTTGATAATCCCTCAGACTTAAGGATCCGTACTTTTCTGATCAACATGGTAGCTCTGTGTCTGTGGGTAAGGGTTTATCTTAATAAGCAGTATGAAATATGAATAATGAAATAATCATCATCTAATGTGGCCATTTGCTAGATCTTGTTGGACAGTATTCTGCTTCCCCAGCCTGCCTATTTTTTCCTTCAAAATATTTGTCTTCAGTGTAGATTTGTCGCAGTGGTGAGCAATGAGTGATTGTTGACTGCAGTCACTGTAGAGGCACCATTTAATGCCATTTTACAGATACCTATACATCCATGGGACCTTAATATTGACCAAATGGATATCACTTTGGCCCTGCTGTATTGTTTATCAGTACCAGCTATTATTCTGTATTCTCAAATGATGCCTTAAGGTTTTGTCTGTCATCACTAAAACAGATTACCTGTAAACAGCAGAAGGAGAAGTTACCCAGACCTCTGCCATCAGTGCTGAAAAGAGTGAACGCTCTAAAAGCAGCACTGAGCTCTTCTCCTGCTGTTCGTGCTCTCCTGGCTGAGATGTACCCCATCATGTTCTCAGTGAAAGCAGAGCCGTCCGTGTGTGGGTTTGTGTGATATTTGTGACTCAGTCTGTGTGCGTCAGCTACAGCCTCTCCACGCTGATAGAACAGTACTAAGAGAAGAGCGGGAGATACAGTAATGAGGGAAGCCAGCAGTGGAGGACGTTTAGGACGAGCTACAGTAAAAGAACTGTGCCATTACTGAGTTATAATAAGGGTCAGAGGTGGGCTATTTCCACATAGCATTGGGATTTAGGTCCAGCAATTACATTGGCTGCTGCAACAGTCTGCATGCCATCTGAGTTATGCAATCACTAGTTTTAGGGTTTCTTTGCTAATGCATTGATAACCTAATCAATGCATCAGCATCAGAAAACTGCAGCTTGAAAACGACTAGAGGAAAAGACAGATTAAGATATGACATTTTCTCTGGTACTCAAAACCTGAGTAATAGAACCCTGTTTTGGTTTGTCACACAAGGTTCTTTAGTGGTCAGGACCCCCGCAGAGCAGGTACCCTTTGGTTGGTGGATCATTCTCAGCACTGCAGTGACACTGACATGGTGGTGGTGTGTTAGTGTGTGTTGCACTGGTCTGAGTGGATCAGACACAGCAGTGCTGCTGGAGTTTTTAAACACCTCAGTGTCACTGCTGGACTGAGAATAGTCCACCAACCAAAAATATCCAGCCAACAGCGTCCTGTGGGCAGCGTCCTGTGACCACTGATGAAGGACTAGAGGATGACCAACACAAACTGTGCAGCTGCAGATGAGCTACTGTGTTTGACTTTACATCTACAAGGTGGACCAAGAAGATAGGTCTAATAGAATGGACAGTAAAAGGACACAGCGTTTAAAATCACAGTGGCCATTGAAGAACAGGGTAAAGGGGGGCTAACAAATTACACAGAGAAACAGATTAACTACAGTCTGTAATTGTAGAACTGCAAAATGCATCTACACGGTACATGAGTGTTGATATAAAGTAGATGTACTTGAAGTGGTTGGTCGGTGTGGATACTAATAATATTATTATGATTGGCTTATGATAGCTCCTCCCGGAGATTTCCTGCAGAGTTCAGTTCCAAACTGCATCTAACATGCAGCCTAATGCATCTGGTGCTGGTTTCTAGCAAAATACAGTTCTTTGTGGTTTTCATTTTTGTTACTCAAACAAATTAGGAGCCCAGATGAAGATCATTCAGAACAAAAAAAGAATGAAGCTACATTTCACCTTGTAATTGTTTTAATGAATTCAAAGGACACAATGGTGCTCCGAGCCCTGAGGACGATGTGAACAGTAGTTGTTGCTGGGGAAACTCATTGCTCTATGTTTTCTGCCCAAAGGCTCAGGTTGCCTTCCTGCATGGCGAGAGGAAGGGGCAGGAGAACCTGAAGAAGGACCTTGTGAGGAGGATAAAGATGCTGGAGTATGCGCTGAAACAGGAGAGGTATGGACCTGCACTCTATTTTTCTCCTTTCTTTACTTGCATTCATTAAAATGAGGGATTCCTCACTTCTGAAAAAAGCCTAGAAAAGTCAGTGAATTTTATTTTACTCTCCCTAGTAAGAGATTATTATTGTTTTTTTATCTTCAGGCTGCAGGGTGTTTAGTAATATGTTTGAGAGTTTGTTGCAATTTGCTACTTTAGCAAATCGGCACATTCTCTCATCATTCTGCTGTTGCTCTCCATGTTCTACTGAAGTTGAAATTAGAAGCAAACATAGCACTAGAAACTTGCACAGGCACTGAAGTACTCAGTTTACCATTCCAGCTGCCAGTATTTAAACACTGAAACTAGTATTAAGGTATTCATTAAACTGTGTCACGGAAAGTCACTGAGAAATTATGTGGGCAACAATTTGCTCAAACAATTCAGTTTTAAACACTGTTAACTAACAGCATTAATAGGGCTGTATAGTGTGACAGCTTTGCTCAAAGTAAAGATTGACTACATATATTAAGTTATGCTTTGCAGCTATTAAACATGAGCTAGTAAAGCTACTTAGTTAGGCTAACTACTTGGGCTAAAAGCAAAAAACCTCATGCAGAAGCTCACGAGTCGTCTCCATCTATCATTGCAATGTTTATTTCTATTGTTACAGTTTATTAGCTCATCTGAAGAGGCAATGTTCATTACTCAAGTGCAGTGACCAAAAAGATTCTCCTTTGCTTATTTTAGAATGACATGTTTTCAAATGTACGTCCCTGTGTGCTGCTGAATGTTCATTTAGGCTACTGAGTTTGTTAGCCTGCTAACATGGCTTTTTCCATATTTGTGTATTATGATGCATATTAAGCAAAATGCTCCCTTTTTTTCTAAATATCCGCTCTTTCAGTCTTGCAGATCAAGAGTCAAAATGCACATCCCTATGTAATATGTCAACAATTTCATATTTGCACCACACTTCAAGTAAATGCTAAACTCTGCTTTTTTAACATTGGTCTGGAAATTTTTTCTGAATTTTTTTTTTTCTTTGAAAAGGTGCGAGAACCATATAAAATGGATGTGCACAGTTCTCATTATAACTCTGGATTTATATACTCATAGGCAGTGGGTCTCTTATGTCTTGTGGTGTATAGTTTATGAGGTTTTTTGAAAGGTTTCAGTAGTTTTTCATGTGATTTAGCAGCTGAATGGATGGGAAATTCAGGTTTGTTTGCAGTGTGATCAATCTCAGTCATCGTTGTCTGCGCTGGTCGGGGAGTAGTTCCTGTCTCTGGTTCATTTAGAATCTCCCTCAGCCAGAGGATTATCAACAGGGATTTGAAGCTACAGGTGCAAAAGTTAAGAGGGATATAAAGGTATAATCACAGTGCTTAGGCAGACTGGATTCTTCTTTGGGTTATTTGAGTTTTCATAGATATGCTGTTTTTCAAGATAGTAGATGCAGTAGATGTTTAGCTGTAGCTCTACAGTTAATGACATCTTGGATTTTGTTCTAAAATGGCCATTATTACACATCTGAATTTGATCTTATTTGCTTCGGTTTTCGGAGATGCTTTTCTTGCCCACGTATCGAAATGATGGCCCAGGGTTGAGGTTTATTATTGCTGCAGCCCAAACAGCGCTGATATGAGTCAAAATCATGTCAGAAGCAGAAACAGTCATGCTCCTGGAATTTTTTATGGGATGCAGAAAATATAGCCAGTGTAGTTTCATATTTAGACATGGCTGTTTTCTAGAGATACAGGATTTTTCATCATATGGAAGAGTATGTGGAGTATATACATGTAATATATGGGTCTGAATGCAGTGTTTCCATGGCAACAACATGACATGAGTCAACTTTCCTCAATTTAATACCATGGCCCCCTAAAGCAAGAAAGGATGTCACTGGCGTGCCTCTCTCATCCTTACAGCAAACCTACTGCTGTAGAAAACATTTGATTTTTAAAAACCTGATGATATAATTTTGTAGGTTTTTGTTTTTACTAAATTAAAATAAAATGAGCCAAAAAACAGAAAGACCTGCTGTATGTTGTAGTATTTTTATTATCAGTTATCACCACACTGAGCTTTCAGCTTCTTCTGCCATGATTGTACTGTGCTTCCATATTTTTACTTTTTGGGTCCTGCATGACCCTGCACTGGAGTCTCCACTTTCTGTATTTTCTTTTAACTAAAGACACTACATGATTTTTAGCCCAAATTTAATCCTGATTTGGCCCTTCCATCAAAGCCTCCCACTTTTAAGGGATTTCCCAGGTTGGTAGCTCGTTTAGAAGCAACTGAAAACCTGGATGATCAGGGAAAACAAGTCCTCTTCAGCCTTCTGATCAAGCTCTGGAGTGATTGAGGGGCTTTCCAATATTTTCAGACATGTTTGATATTTATGGTTCAAAACATTCACAAGTCCTGTAGTGTGAAATGATCAGCAGTGTTACTGAACGAGTGATTCAAGCAACAGCCAATGAGAGAGCTAGAAAAGTGGAGAAAATTGCAAAGGGACACACGGCGCATGTGCAGCGGGCTGCTTGAGGAGCTGCTTGTTGAACACAGGCAAATTAGAGCTTTTATCGTGTTCATAACCGATGGGTCCAGACATGAATCAGCTGCCAGTTTGTAGCGAAATATTCTCTCACTGTGATTTCTACGTTCTCTTTGGTGGAATATTAAGAGATGGAAATAGAGCTAAACAGTACCAAAAAGTTCCACAATTCAAGCAGCGCAAGTTCATTAATGTTATTAATACACACTTAAATTTTACCTGAATAATAAATAGTACAGGGACTGATACTGTGACTTTGATGCTGATTCCTGAACAACACAGTACAATGTGCCTTTGCCTTGTTATTTAATAATGATACTGTCCTGAACCCTTGATGTGGTTAGACTGACCTGCATTATTCTAAACAAAGTTATTTACATTTGTTAGTTCATATGAGTTTCTTGATTCATCTAAGCACCCACGGAAACTCATCTGAGGTTTGGTCAGGACGCATTTGTATTTTGAAGTCTTCTGCGCTATCAGCATTACCAATATTGTAATAACCATTAACGCCACCCATGAGTGATCTCAGCCCCTTTCCGAGTACAGCTCACAGTTGATGAGGCAGACTGTATTTGGTCTGTGCATGACAGCAGTGATGATGAGCAGCAACATCCAGGGACAGCAGAGGAAATAAAGCTTTAACTCAGCTCTGAGGCAGATAATAAACTGCCAGTTGTTATATAAACATGTGAAGGAGGCTAGTTGTCATTGTGCGTATCAGTGATGTTTCGCTCCGTCCTTGTCAGAGTTGAGATGCAGGAGGTGATGGAGATTAAGAGGATGTAGAAGTGGAATTCTCAGAACTGTGTGGAGGGCAGTGCATGAGCAAGGTGAATATTTTGGGCCAGACTGCTAGGGAGTTTGGAGTTGAGTGTGGGCAATTTGGCTTTAGAGACTGAATAGAGAGTCCAAATAGAGACTGAGAGAACTGAGACCGGAGTGCGGTTGGGGGAAGGTAGCTTTGCCCTGGTAATGATTCAGTTTTGTACTAACAGATTGAATCAAGTGAATCCATTTAGAGAAGGAGCTTAAATCAGTTTTGTATTGATGTATTGTTACGTTTAGTAAATGTATAGTAAGGCTGAAAGATTTAAATTTTAATTACAGCCCACAAGGTTTAAGTGGGGAAATTTAACCTGATATCATGGAGCTTATGAACTGACTAGAGATTAGACTGAATGTAGTTTGAGTGATCTAAGCATAATCTGCCTACAATGCATCCTGGGGGTGTTTATATCATTTTTCTATGCGATCACCAAAAACATGCTAGGTTGATGCTAGGTGTAAACAGTCTATATGACAGTATAAGGAGTTTCAGTTCATCATATTTGTCATGAGGGACCGGGGACGGATAGAAAAATGTCACAATAAAAATAAACATTTTGTCATAACTACTATGACTCATTAGCATGTTTCTGCTTTAATATTAGTTTCTTTTTAACTTTAGGCTTGGCCAAACTTGTTCTACTGCGCTGTGTTTCACAACCCAGCTGTGAATCAGACATGCTTTCCACAGTGAGCTGCCCCCTTTGTGCTCGTCTATGTCTTTTTTTTTGTGTGTACCTTCTCAGATAAGAGCCCGTTCTGTCTTTAAAGGGATTCTGCTTTGACCTTGATCCCACTGATTGCCATGGCAACAAATGGTGTCGCTTAGTCTGGTGACATCAGACATCACATCCTTAGCCATGAGTCAGATCTACAAAAAAAGCAAACTTTACGACTTCCTGCCTTTTCTCTTTCACTGCATGATACAGCAAAGAGTGGCTACTGTCTGTGGCTAAGGCACTTCCCTATTATCATTCACACGGACAGTTTATGCTAGTTGAGGCCTGTTGGAAATCCTGGGAGTCACATTCCTTCTATACGTTCCCAAACCTCTTAAAAAATACCTTAAAAGGTATTTTACCTTAGCTTAAAATACCTGAACCCAAACACCATATACATTCAAAAGGCTATTCAAATAAATACGGGAAAATCAAACAGATTTGACCCTTGACTTTTTCTGTAAACGGTTTAGCCTGCTGTTTCAGTCAGGCCTTAAAAATACAGTCCAAGCTTTGGTTGACCTACCTGTGATTAAGATGTAACTAAACTAAGATGTAATGTTCAGTAAAATCAACTTATACCTGGGCTGGATGATGAATCAAATACTTTGCTGTTTGTTTGATCCAAAACTAGGCAATATCATTTATATTGTGGTGTGCGTATGTGTATGTGTGTGTGTGTGTGTGTGTGTGTGTGTGTGTGTGTGTATGTATGTATGTATGTATGTATGTGTATATATATATATATATATATATATATATATATATATATATATATATATATATATATGTATATGTATGTATATGTGTGTGTGTGTGTGTGTGTGTGTGTGTGTGTGTGTGTGTGTGTGTATATATATATATATGTGCATAGTAGAATTTCCTGAATGTTAATTTTTGCCATTCATAAAAAATGCTTGGATATCTGGATTTAAAACCTTTTTAAGGTTGGAAGAACTGAATATAGTGTAATATTGTGACATTTCAGGCTTAAAAAATAGAATCAACATATGGACACCCAAGTATGAATTTTAAATGGGAGAATGACGTTCAATCACGCCATTCAGGTCAGAATCAGGACCTCCACTGTAACATACCAGTACAAGTTATTGGAAGAGACTAGTGTTACATTCACTGACCATTGTAAATTCCTCTGCATATAAGCATTTGTTAAATGTAAACGTGAAGCCAGTTTTGAATATTTGTTTGTAGTGATGAATTGATCAGTGTTTTTAGGCCCAGTGCTGATCGCCATTCGCCTTTTAGCACATTCTGCTGCTAGCTGATACCAATCAAGGGCAGGGCTGGAAGCCACATTTAAAGGCGCATAAGCAATTCTCAGCAGCAAAGCAAATGCACCCCTCTCTTCAGTGCTCCTTAAATAAAGCAGGTAATGTAACTAACATTAGTTAGGCTGTGGGTTAGCAAACAGAAACAGAGGAACCTCCTCATCCCATATCACACCTTTCGTCTCTCTGTGAAGCAGTAGTCAGCTTCTTTTTTGCCAGCCTCTTGTTCGAATTTCATTCCACCTTAAATGGTCCAGCAGTTACATTCTGGCGCCTCAGGCTAGCATTGCCGTTGAAATAACTGGAGCCTAAAAATGTTTTTGCTTAATGAAATAGATGTGATGAAGCTGAAGTTGGCTTTCTGTTCGCCACCTTTTACGTCACTAATCAGCTCTCAGGATTGGCTAAGTTAGCAAGATATCAGCCACTCCCCAATCACATATTTGGGCTGAACATTGACTGATGCATAGCTGACCGATTCTTCCATCTCTATTTATTTATCTTCATAGATATAAATCAAAATGTTTTGCAGCATGTCATATACTTAGCATATCACAAATCTTTACATATCCCAATCGTTTCATTGCTTCAAGGTCTGTAGCAATTCCTACCCATTTTGTCTGTTGGCAAAAGACTGAAAAATATGTTTACATTTTTAACCGTATTGTCCAGCCTGTTTATACCTGCTTAACACTGTAAATAAGTTGAATGATGACTAAGGTGTAGTTTATTATTGACAACAGTGACTTAAGAAGTGTATATCAGTGTAGAGGGCTACATTCAGAGTGATTTTTTGTAATCAGATATTCATAGTATTCACAGTTCAATTATGTCCTTAAGAAGACCATGTTGTCATGTTGGAAGGCAAGCAGTAACTGCGCTCTGATAGAGCTTGTCTCATCACCATTACTGCAGTTACAATCCTACAGGTGGATAAAAACCAAGCAAAATAGGCCAGAATGACCACAAAAAAGATGAAAAGATATCGCTACTTGGGTACAGTTAGCTAGATGGGTGGACTAGATCTGTAAAACCTGCATTTCTCCGCAGTTCAGAACATTCCAGTGTGTGATATTTTATAGTAATTAATAAAAGTGTCTACCAAAACTGCCAAAGCTCTGAAATAATAAACTCGTACATAGCTATATTTTAAGCTCAAGTCAGCTTCTCATTCACCAGTTTCTCATTTGAATTTTCTGTTCCACCTTAAATGGTTCTGCAGTTATGCTGAGGTGCCTTAAACGTAGAACAAGTTTGAAAAATTGGCGAATACCAAGCCAACATCAGCTTATCTCAGTGAAAGTGTCAGTTTTCCTCAATAAATGCGTTCTTAATCAACAAATGCCGTAAACTTTCACTTGGAGATATTTACTAAGCAGCTATTGAGCAGCACAGCAGAGCTGTAATCAGTCAATGGAGCTTTTGTACGCGTCTCACTGGCTGAGTTAATGCTGCGTCCCAAACCACACTCTTCTGTACCTTACGTACTACACTAATGAGTGCACTCCTAACGCTACTTTTTCATATTATTTAGTGTGCTACGAGTTTTGGGATGCGAAAATAATAACACAGTGGTAAATCGCAGGCATTTAGATTTTAGCTTTTGTTTATTATCACTACAGCAACAAATCAAACGAAATGAAGTCAGTACACTCAAATGCATTGGTTAAAACGCTTTAAACATTTTTAAAAGTGTTTAAAAAAAACTTGTTTTACCACCTTTGCTAGATCAGTTATGGATTTATCTCATTACAAACTACCACAGCACTGCTGAATGAACTTGAAGTTGCCTACCAAAATGGTGGCAGTGTGACTGTGACGTCATTGGAATACTATCAATTAAACTAGGCCTGAACAGGATGGACAGAACTCATATTAATGTTATATTACTACATACTGTGATTGTTATATGATTTGCAGTACGTAAATAAATATGCAAACCCTTGATGTGCAATGATTAAAGGTTGACGTGCATATATGATTGCATTCTTTGTATTATGTGTCTTGATTTATCAACGCTTTCACATAAAGTTGTCTGGAAGCAGTGAGAACTTTTGATTTGTTAAAGCCTCCTGATATTTCAGTATTGCAAAGGCCAATGTTGCAATTTAAGTTAATAAAGAGTGTATTGTGCAATCTATTTATTGAGCTATTTTTAATATATTTGATAAGCTTGACTAATAAGAGCTGTAAAAAAAAAATACTTGTTTAAAGAAAAATCACATAACTCAGTGGAGAATTAGCTTGTGTGCTAATTCAGACAGTACTAGTAGGCATGCACAAACTTGTCTCTTATTTATTGGTGTTCATGTGTTTTTTTTCTAATCAAGCCTCTTTTTTCTGGTTGCCATGCATCCTCAGGAGAGCATCCTCTTCAGAAATACAGAACACATTAGTGGCATTGATGCTGCTGACGTCAGTGTGGCAGCTCAAAATAGAGTGAATTCTCATTATGGCCATGAGAGCCTGATTAAATCTGACATTCTCTTTTCTTTTTTTTTTTGATTGGCCCACCTATCCAAGGGGGGCAGGCACTTGGGGGTTTTTACTTATGACCTTGTTAAAACCCCCCAAAGATGATGACAGAGGTGTTGGGTTACCTAGCAACATGCTCTTTTGTCTTAAGGCCTTGGAAAGAAACGCCAGGCTCGACTGGAACGCACAATGTTCCTTACTTGAATGGAATTTAATGGAGTTTAATGGCAGCAAAGTTCCTCAAGCTGTGTCTGATCCCTTGGCCTGAATGTTCAGAAAACATGTTGAAAACATGCTTCTCATGACCTGAATTCTGCAGTCATGGAAAGTGGGTGATATAAATATTTGATGCTGGGGCCTTAGGCTTTTTTGGTTATTGTTGTTTTTTTTTAGTATGTGATTTAAACAGAATTGATGCACATTTTTTTATTCATGCTTTGTTGTTCTCTTTCAGGGCAAAGTACCACAAGTTAAAATATGGAACAGAATTGAATCAAGGTGACATGAAGCCACCGAGCTATGACTCTGGTAAGTCTCAGTTCAGCTTATTTGCACAGTGTAGGTTACGTTTCTGTAGGCCTGTGTGAAGTAGTGTACAGTGCTATATAGGTAAGGTAACCATAGCTCCATTTGATCCTAATGTCTTTCCAAAACTTGATCTCCTCCAAGTATTTTCAAGCAAGCACATTTCAGAGGAAGTGCTCTTCTCTGTAAGGGCTCGACTGATATGAACATTTTGTGACCGATACCAATATTAAGGGGCTAAAAATTATTCCAATAACTGATAATACTGACAGATACTAGTTTGTAGTTTTAAATAATTATCTAATAGTTTTGCTTACACACTATTTTAACTCAAACAGCAGAAGCTTACAAAGTCATAAATAATGTAAATACTGTAGCACTTGGGATGGAGCTACCTAGAATTCTCTGCAGTTTTGGTTTCTGAAATTTACCTCTAATTTTTCTTAGTTCATCTTCTTTCATTTGAATACATACATCTTTGTTATTTTAACCATTATGATGTTTTGTATGTCAATATTGGACGATATTTTCAGCCATCCAGGGTATTACTAAGGCTATGTACTGTCATCTGATAGTGTAGCATCTAACAACACTGAGAAGTAAATTGGTGTTCTTGACAGAAATAAATCATAGAAAATTATTCAAAGTGCTACAGTTGTAGTGTTGTATGTTGGTCTGTTGCTGTGATTGCTACTTTTCAGGAGTTATTGACTTGGTTATTTGAATATTTTAATATCTAGATTCATCTTAATATTTGTTTTCTTGAACATGTACTAGAGCTTGTGGAGTAGAGCATGTGGTGTTTGATTTAAGACGATATAAATGATGTATTATCTTTTAATTTTTAAACTGGGCATATGATGTAGAACCACTGAGAATTTCAGAGCACTAGCAGCAGTTTTTGCGTCTCCTGTTAAGCAAAATGTCCACTACATTTGGAAATATTGCAAACAAAAACATAATACAAAAGTGTTTTATGAGTTAACCTTTCCGTAGGTCAGCTGGTAGTAAGTTAAATTTCTTATGCTAGCTACACATAATAAACGAATGTTAAACATTGCAGATTTTCATCTTTTTAGTCATGATAATATAAATGATTTCTTGTTGGGATATTTGAACATTATTCCTTTAAAAATTCAAATAATTGATTAGCAAAAATGCCATTCAGGTGATATGAAATCACTAATCATGTGAATTATTAGTGTGGACTAACTTTGAGGCCAGCTCTATGCAAAAAAATATGCTACATCTTACACCTCACATATTGTTATTTGGAATAATATCGAACTTTTTTGTAACACTCTTAAAGGCTGACATTCGTATGGCTAAATGACGCCTACATAAGCCTTTTTTGACAGCTGACATAAAGCTACTTTAACGTTCATAAATCACTTGAGACCTGGAAAGTTTTATGACAGCTTATGCACTTTTGAATAAGACTTAATAAATGTTCATATACAGTTGTTTGCAAAAGTTTGGGTGCCCCTGGTCACAGTATGTTTTGTTGACCTCTACAGACAAGAACACACTTCTGCACCTCAGCTCTTCATCACTCATAAAACAGCAGAAGCCCTCAGAGGGCCATCAGTCTCGCCCTGAGCTCGGCTCATTAATTGAGAGCCAGCATGAAGTGTGTGTGTGTGTGTGTGTGTGTGTGTATTTATGTGTGTGTGTGTGTGTGTATGTGTGTGTGTGTGTGTGTGTGTGTGTGTGTGTGTGTGTGTGTGTGTATTTATGTGTGTGTGTATGTGTGTGTGTGTGTGTGTGTGTGTGTGTATGTGTGTGTGTGTATTTATGTGTGTGTGTGTGTGTGTGTGTGTGTGTGTATGTGTGTGTGTTGCCTTGTGATGCAGCAGGGCTTTGTCATCTCCACACATGGCGGCTCTCATATCGTCTTTTATCTTTTATCTAAGTGTACAGGTTTGGTACAGTATGGTATTTTCCCACAGCTGTTTGTCAGCAGTGTGCTCTGTTATTGTTACTGCTTGTGTGATTTGTTAGAGTGACTCAAAGCACTACAGAGCACTGAACCATTTGTTTTTTTGTGTAAAAACAATGCTTCTCCTCAATAGGGAAATATTGCAGTACTGTGGAAAAGTCAGAGACCTCCTTTGTTAGTTCATTTTACAGTCAAAACAGCCATGTAGTACAGTATTGCAAATCAAAAAAAGAAAACATATGTATTTAACAGGAAATTAGCCTAGCCCGCTAAATGTAATATCACAGTTTCAGTATTTCGTGTGTCTCACTCGTTACCTTTTATTATGGCTTTCATCCTTTTCAGGAGACTTGCTTTCAGTTTTTCGAAGAGATCTGCAGGGATATTTTTCACACATCCAAAGTTCAGTCATAGAAGTTGGTTGCATTGCTTCTCATGATCCCAGTAATCCCAAACACATTCAGTGATGTTGAGGTCTGGACTCTGTGGTCAGTCTGGTGTTGTGAGAATATTAGCAGCTCCTTTGTTTGAATTGTAGGTGTTCTTCTTTTTGCAGTAAGGGCCTCTTGACAGCTACACATCCTTTCAGACTCATAGCAGTGAGTTGTCTTCTCACAGTGAAAGGATGGACAAAAACACATGGATTTTTTTTCCTGATCTCCTGAGAAATATCTTTTGGGAAACATAAAGCGCTCGTACATAATGGCTGTTTTGCCTGGAAATGTAATAAATGAAAAGTGGTCTCTGACTTTGGCACAGTGCTGTATATAACTGAATCATACCTGTATGTTCTGTATATGCTAATAAGCTTCTCTGCCCATCCAAGTACAGTTAGCATACGCAGTTTGATTCGTTTATAGGATGAAGTATTGGATGTTGTGGTGTTGAAAAAGGACCTTGCACAACTATTGTACATGAACTCATGAATTTTAGAAACATGTTTTTATAAAATGTCTCCACTGGTTTCCCTGAAGGCCACTATGTCCTTGTCTCTTGTTTATACATGATTACTGAAACTTGGCTGTACTGATCTTTTTCATAGATTCACTTTCACATACACATCACTAACTAACCCTCTCTCTCCACTTTTGTCCTTCTTTGTTTACAGATGAGGGGAATGAGAAGGAGACTTCTGGCTCCCTTAACAATCAGCTGTCTTGGAAGCAAGGCCGGCAGCTGCTCAGACAGTGAGTACAAATCTCCCCCTGTCCCTTCACATTCATGAAGTTTTAGCTGCCTATTTGATAGCAAACAAATGCAAATAGCGTTTTGTGACTTCATTTGTTCATTTTAAGCCACTGTTGTGGTATAATAGGTATAATGTATATACTGAACACTGAGCTTAAGTAATTTAAATTTCTGTTCCAAATCCAGTGATATTCAGACTGGAACATACAAGGTGGTAAGGGTTACCTGAATGTCTGTTACAAGCTTCATTTTAAAGGTTTCTAAGTTAAGCACTGTTGTATGTGCAGAATATATATATATATATATATATATATATATATATATATAATGTTGGTACAGTACAGGTACTAGTACTTTGTTCCATGCTGTATTTTATGTTGGAGCAGCTTCACCACTCCTGGTAAAGGTCTTAGTGTTCCATGGTAGGGTTCTCAACTCCAAATTATAGGTGCTTTTTTATGATTGTTATAAACCGTGATAAAAAATGTGGTAATTATACTCAAAATTTTTTTTTACCAACACATGCCGAATATTTACTATAGCCAAAACAGCTTTGTGGACAAGAAACAAATTTTTATGTAAACATGATGGACAAAAGTGCATTGTGTAGCTTAAAACAGTAGATCATGTCTTGAAGCACGAATTTTGTCTGTACTTTTGTGCATTTTTGCAGATAGTGGTATGTCATACAGTGTCTAAGATTAGTAACAGCTCTGCCTGGTTTGAGGCGAGTATGTGATGGTTTTAGAGGTATAATTTTCAGCATTGTAACTGGTGTGGTGTAGCTTGTTAGTTTCATAGCTCTAAAGCAAATTTTGCACCTAATTCACATTCTGTTGTTGCTACATAAGCATATTGTGAAATCAAATGACTGTGGAATATGATATTGGTCAGCTCGAACAGTTGTGGTCAGGTGATTCTGAACTATTGCGACATTCTTACTCCCCCATGTTCTGGTCAGTGGAACCTCCCTCTAGCTAGCTGTATTCAACCAGTAACAGTGTCTTGTTCCAGTAAAGTGGTGAGGCGGTCCGTCATTGTGTCAGGCTGACCACTTTTAATAATCCTGAGACCTCAGAGTGAATGCAGGCTCCGCTGACCTTTTCAGTAAGCAAGCATGACGTACCCTGGTGTCTGTAGTACAGTTCAGGTCGTCTTGACCAGAAGCCGTTTCCTGGCCCCTCACTGTTGTGTAAAAGGAAAGAGGTAGCCAGAGAGGAGGAGGGGAAATATGACTGTCGAAAATAACACCTCCCTGTTTGATGGCTGGATTAGTTTTGCTTGAAAAGGCACTAATATTTAAGTTATTGCTGATCAGATCCCCTGACTGGAACAATTATGGAGTGTTTCAAATCCAGTCTGAATCTGCAGCATGTTGGTTTTAAAAAGTGTGACAGTAATAATCGTGGAGTGATTTTAGTCCAGTATGATTCTTCAGTGTTTTACAGTCGGTCAGTACTAGGCTATTTGTGGCGTAATTGTGGTCTTCTTCTGTAACTGGTTAAATCCAGAGTTCTCTCAGTAAAGTAGTCCTGTTCCAGTGTACATCAGACCATGTCATGGTATGTAATTCACAGGTTTCATAGTTTGGTTAAATACAATGTGATGGTGTCTTGATTCAGTGCGTCTTTTGATACAGCAAAAATAAGGAATGCTGGAACATGTTATGTTAATATGTTTGTTTCCATTTTTAGTTTATTAGAGCATTTAACTTTTTAAAAGTTCTAAAATTGAGACTTGGGAGAAACAGCTTTGCCTGATCTATTCACACTGGTGTCATGGCAGCACAGAAGAACATAACAAGGTCTGTACTATATGGTGCTCCGATGTAAAGCTTTGGCCACGACACATTATATGTTAACAATATGATAGGGCACAGTACAGTGCAGTATGATATGTTGTATTCTTACACCCTATTAATAAAACAACAAAACCTGCTAGTAGATTTAGACATGCAGTGTTTTTATTGTTATTGAATGTGGCACTGACATGAACATCCAAAATAAGACCCCTGTGACTGTGAAAGAAGACTTTACATTTTGTATTATTCTATTTTGTATTCAGATTTAGCAGTATCACTTGTATTGTATAATGTAGTGGAAGAGAGAGGTTTTTTCACCCTCTCATCAATGATACTATGGCCAATTTTTAGCAGTATTTTCCTATTTGCCAGTAAACCCGTATTTTGACAATATCAGCCAATGTTATCGGTCAACGCATATATCAATACATCACGCTCTAGAAAACATTATTACATAACTGATTTATTCTGTATCATTTGGCTGGTCAAACCCCACAAATTACGCAAAACAGCCCTAGTAAAAACTAATTCAGCTCCAGGCTTAACTGAGTGCTGTTTTTTCTCACCTTGGTTATTTGCGAAGGGCACATCAGAACTGCTGTCCTTCAGAAGTTATGCAGAAAGTTGTATGGAAGAGTATTCTGTATGTGCTGACAGCATAAACAAACACATCTATCGTGACTGTAGACCTCCTGAAATTTACTGTATGGTTCAGCGGTGCCCTCTCCTGGACATTTTGCATTGCATTCTTTCCACTGTCAGCATAGCTTGCATGCGTTCCTCACATACACACGTCAGACACGGAGCCACAGTGTTAATGAGAAGACGCAGGCTGTGCTGTCCTCCCCCTGTCCTTAACACACAGCTTTAACCTTTCATTCACAAATATGTGTAACGTCTTTCCCTCTAGCCATTTAGAGCTTTGGTTTAGTGCAACGTTGCAGGCGTCAGCTAAGTGGGGAACTCTGGCAGTGGGAGGCTCATTGATCTGTGTGTGAGTGTGACTGTTAAAGTAATCCGCCCCCACATTCTCGCAGCTTGGATACACACGGACAGTGAGCACTCAGATCACACCTCTAGCTGGAAAACTTTCCTTCTAGCTTCACAGATGGTGTGATTTAGATTTGGGGTGGATTTATGCAAATATTTGTCAGTGTGTAGGGCTGAACGATTTGGGGAAAATATTTAATTGCAATTTTTTTTTTTATAATCAATAGTGCGATATAAATGAGACCATTTTCTGTAAACAATGCTCCAGGCCTTTTTTGTTTCTTTGTTTGTTTTATTTTTGCCAAGAAGACCAGCACATTTCCTTACAACATTGAGTAATGTAAGATGTAATTAAAGGGCCCATGTCTTACATTTTTCTTCCACCCCTTGAGATCTGCTTTTGACCATAAAGTGGGTTTATGTACCAAGAACAGCAGTAATTCATTTTCACATGACCATTTTCCAACCTCTCTTTATTTCTTAGAATTAAACAGGTTGTTTTTGTTACTGTGCCTTTAAGACTGGTATATTTATGAGCTCTGTTCTGATTGACTGTACTATATTGTGCCTCATTCAAAAAGCCAAAACGCTCCTTATAACATGAATGGGCGGGGCTAAACCATTGTAGGTTGAATGGGTGCATATATATAAATATGTGATATTAATAAAGCAATAAATTCAAAATGTTTCTTGCAGCTTATTTAGGGGAGTGGACTGTATGTTTATATATGACATCAAATGAAGTCATGAAAAATTCAGCTTTCTATAATAATCCTTTAAAATTGTAGCTCTTGCGATTCGAAAATTGCACCCTTTCAAATTGCTGTTTCAACACAAAACCATTAATCGATCAGCTCTATCTGTGTGTCTTTGATATGTTAATACTAGAGGTCACGGATGTTGCTAGTGATTTATGTGACGGGGGGCTAAGCAACCATAAGCTCTGTTTGGGCAGGATTAGTTTTCCATGGAGTGGTGGGTAATGCCAGTTTGCCACAAGACATCTGTAATGTTTGTGACTGATTCGCATGGGATGAATCTCGGTATAAATGACAGAGATGGGCATGGCTGCTTGACTTACATACTGGTTTTACTTCAAAAGAGTAGAGAACATCCAAACATTTAATTAAGCCGTTGTTTTGTTTATCACAATTACCATTAACTTGGGAATTCTCAGAAAACAGTCAACTTCACAGCATAAAATCACTTTTTTCAGAACTTTTTACAGGTTCTGAGGGGTATATGTGAGGTAGACAATAATGTTACATATTGGCTTGATTTTAGCCACAGAGAACTCTTTCCACAAAATATGAGAGCATTTTTACCAACATGTTAATTCGCACATGATTAATATAATCTGAGGTTATATCTACTGCTCTCTTTATAGAAGGTAAAAGGCACCGGGATCTTTACTGATGAGGGAGCGCACAGTCGGTAGAAATGACTGATGTGGCACGTTTGGTATCTAAAAATACCATACCTACAGTTCACAGGTAGCAGCATCATGGTATTCCTTTCTCTTCTCATGGTACCAGTGTCCACATTGTCGAAAGGAAGATAAATGTAGCCACGTACATGGAAAATAATGAGAAGAATCTGGTGCCATCCACCAGGACTATGAGGATTAAATGCGCCTGGACCTTCCAGCAGGACAACGATCCAAAACATACTGCAAAAGAGACTCTCAGTTGGTTGGAAGAAAATAAAGATGTTGGAATGGGAGAGTCAATCACCAGACTTAAATCCAGTAGACAATTTCTAGAAGGAACTGAGGATCAAGACTCACTAGTGGCCCTGAAGAATCTTCAAGATTTAAAGACTGTGTAGAAGAATGGGCTAAAATCCCGCCTGAACTCTGTGAGAGATTAGTTTCTTTGTAAAGGAAGCATTTTGAAGCGGTCATTGCAAACAAAGACTTCTCCTTCAAGTATTAAATATGTTTCAATTAGCATGTTCTTTTTCTTTTCTCATTTAACTTCATTGCACATTACTTTTTTTTGTTACGATTTCTTTAGCTGTGTGGTTTCATTGAGTTAATACCAATATCTGTCTAAATTTCATGTGAATAGCTGCATTGGAGATATGTTTAATAAAAAAAACATTAAACAAAAAACTGAATACTTATTTCCCCCGCTATAATTATGAAGGTTTGGAGACTGGTAGAGATATTGCAGCGAATGGAACAGACTTTCTTTTTCTCTCACACAGCACCCTCTGTCTGTCTGTTCAGGTACCTGCAGGAGGTGGGCTATACAGACACCATTCTGGATGTTAAGTCTCAGAGAGTGAAGGCCCTGTTGGGCTTGGCAGGTGACGGCTCATGTGACCGGTCCAGTCAGGAGCCGCTGCTTAATGGGACAGACACTGCACCCAAGGGAGCCAACACAGCAGGGTGAGTCAGAAGCAGTCAGCTAGAATGAGAAATAAATGACTCAGTCAGTGACAAAGCGCAGTAGTTAACTAAATCTGTAGTAATAAGGTACAGACTTAACAGAAGTAACACAATTTTGGTAAATTATGGAAGATAAATATGATTGTTAAGGTTGATTTTGTGAACGAATATTTAAATACAGAAAACACCACGATTTTTTTGTCATAACGTGTTACCTTCATCCCCAACAACTGTTGCTTTTTCAGCAAGATGTGAAAATAAGTGAACACATACTCTACAGAGAACACATTTGTGCGTATTTTAATAGAAAAAACTGTTTATTTGCTGAATTTAATCTCTTGGGGGGCGGGAAATCTTATAAAATAAATATTTTAGGTTTTATTTTTTCCAATATGTTAAACTCATAAGCAAAAAAATAGACACTGCATTACAAATTGCCATTTGTAACTCATTTGTTATGCATCCTCTCTGTACAGTTAATTTATTTTCACTTAGAAAATCAACAAGATATGCAGATTAATTGGGGTGTTGCTCTCGCATATGACTGTATATTGGTCAGGCCCTGATATGGACAATAATAGTCAGAGCTGTATGACATGGACTAAACATGATAATTAGATTGTGTTGCACTATAATTCAATTTGATTACAGTATGCCTACAACTATAGTAATAGCTCAGTAGTATGGTCAAAGACACACAAGTTATTGATTGAACTGTTTTAATTTGACTGAAATTATTTCAGTTTGCTGAATCAAGGAATGTCTGAATTTGCTCACAGCACACAATCAATTTTCTGATTGATTAGAAGGTTTATTTGCATAAAAGTATTGTGCAGCCCTGGTAATAATTACCCACTATTATTCAAAATTATAGCAAAAACTAACTGAAATCAGCGTCTTAATTAAAGCTCTAGCAGTAATAAAAACTCTCAGCAAATGAATGACACTGTCAGCAGCCCTGGGCACATTTATGACCTTAATGGAATATTTTCTTTCTTTTCTTTATGACTTTCTTTCTATGACTGCATGAATACTATAGGAAAGTGGAGCTGTCTGACTCGAGCACAGTGCTGGAGGTGTTTAAATTTATTGAGAGCGCCGCAGCTGAATTTAGCGATGAAGACGATGAAGAGGACAGTGAAGGGAAAGAAAAGTCCATCATCGATTCTAGAACGGTGAGCTCACAGCATATTTCAGAAGGTCAGACAGTTTATTTATAACTGTATTATTCTACAAAACCAGCTGGTTGCATATTGGCCATTGGAGTGCTTGCAGTGCATCTTGGGATGTCTGGCTTGTGTACAAGAGATATTTGTATCCATACCTATGATTACCTGCAGCTGAATCATGTTAAGGCATTACTTTTGACCCTTTATGTCCCAATGGTCCACATGCGGGTCCACACTTCTATTCAGTCCAACACCTTTTTGTTCTTGTGCAGATTGTGAGGAAGAAGCCTTCGTCCTTTTCTCCTGCACATGCAAGCGACGACCCCGACACAGAGGACGCTCTGAAGGGCTTCGACTTCCTGTCCAACCCTGAGGACATGGACACCTCGCCTGAGTCCAGGAGCGCAGGGGATGGCACAGACTGGGGTAAGAAACTCAGAACAGCCATGTTTATGCACAAGGAGATACAATATAATATGACAGATTATCCATTTTGTCAAAAAGCCTAAGCTATTCTGTTCAAAATAATACCTTCATACCTCGTTTTATACCTCTTAGTTCCTTAAAGTACTGAATTGTTAGTATATTAAACATGTAAATACTCATTTTTATAGCTATTTTTGTTAATGTTAGAATACAGGTTAAAAATTTGAAATCTGGGCTGGTTGTCTTCAGAATTTTTTGATACAAATGTCAATATCAATGCCTTGACTTTAATACTTATTACTGAACAATACTTTTTAGAAACTGTCTTATATTACCAAAAATCCTTATTGGTTCGCTGACACTGATAAGACTGACTACATCGATATTGAAATTTGGTATTAAACACAGTGGAATTTCATCAGTAATATGAAAATAATTCTGTCGGTACCCAGTCCTGCTGTTAATCTCTCAAATGCTTAGGGCCTATGTAGTCATATGTAGAGGTTTGAACACCCCTGGCCAAACAATGCATTTTGTTGATTTTCTAAGGGAAAATCAGTGAAAATCTCCTCTGCCAACTTAAATATGGCATTTTTCTACAAGTCTTGGTGCACAAGTTTAACATGTTGAAAAAAGACATATATAGACAACATTTTAAGTTTGGGTTTTTTTTTTTATTATGTTAAATTTAGCAAATAAGCAGTAATTATACATTAAATGTAAAAGTTTGTTCTCCGTATGAGGATGTGCTGATTTATTTTCACTTAGAACAGACAGGGACGGCAAAACGTTTGCATATGACCGTGTGCACATATTAGTTTTATATCAGTTATAGAATAAGTCTTGAGTTTAATAATAAGGATACAAATGATAAAGTGATAAATCAAATTTTCTGTCACATCATAACTGACCAGCAAAAAAGGAAGAAGTACCCCAGTGTGGCAGTATGTCATATTAGGGGTAATCCTTATATCGTATATAAAAAAAGATATTTTTATTTGTCTGTATTTGACTGTCATTGATCCAAGAAATAAGCTTCATTCATCTCATTGAACCTTTAGTTATGTGTACAGCAGTGTTTCCTTAGTCTTAGTCTTGGAGGCTCTACTGCATTACAGTTTTGCTATCTCTGCGCTAGCACTCCAGAGTAATATTATTAGCTAATTATCTAGTCCTTTATGAGCTGAATGGGCAGGGAAACTGCAGTACAGTTGAGCCTCCACTACTAGAATTGGAAAAACAATGGTGTATGATTTCCAGCTTCCACAGATGTCCACAGACACCCGTCATCCTCAAGAAGATAAAGACATTTCAACTGAATTGTTAATCACCTGTGTTTTAGTTTGACTGTTATTTGTTTGATTTGTGTCCATGTTTGTTGTCATTGCCCTGTCCTGTGTCTCTGTGTTAGCCGTACACCTCCCACTGACCCACTTGTGTGTTTATATCTGCCAGAAATTGATTTTCTTCTTGATTGTTACTACTGTCAATCTTTCAAGCCTCAGGCTAGTCCACACTGGTCACACAAGGTTGCTGACCTCTCGTTTTCTGTTTAACCTCGATCAGGACCAAAATCCGTAAAAAATGGTCAGTCGGAAATAGGCCTGGGCGATAAAATAATAACTGTTATTAAAAAAATATTGTTATTATTTTCAATAAATATAAATATTTCATTTTTGTTTCCTTCACAGTTCAAAATACTTTTCAATCTTAAAGGGCCCATATCCTCCATTTTTACTGTTTTTCTTATGATGTTTTAAGTCATAATTACTTATGATGTTTTAAGTCATAATTACTTTAATAATAATAAAATGTGACTATTTCTCAATCTCACTTTATCCTTTAGTTTTAAACAGACTTTATTACTGTGTTTTTTTAAGACTGATATATGTAAATACAACAGTGCTGTTTGGCCGCCCCTGTACTGGGCCTAATTTAAAAAGCAGTCCAGGCTGAAACACTCCTTATAACTTAAGTGTGCATGGGTGGAGCTAAACTGTTGTGGGCTTATAAGGTATAACATTCCAAAAGCAGTTAATTCAAAACAGGCTGTTATTTTTCCACACAGGACTGTAGAGTGAATGATACATTTTGAAGCTTTAGCAGTGTTTGCAATATCATATACATTAGGGTGTATCGATTCTCCAAATCTTCATCTTCCAGAATCACAACACAAGACTATGGATGTTTGTATCACGGTTTTGGTCTCTGCTTCAAAAGCGTAACACCCATAGTTTACATTCTTTAAAGAGCAAAAATTTAGTTTTCATTATATGGGCCTTTTAAAACTGATGATTACAGAATGCATTTAAAACCATATAAGCAATGCGTATACCAACGGGTATTAGATTTATTATAATAGTGACGCTGCAAGAATCACTTCCAGAATTACTGTTATGATCAACCCTATGATTTATGTATTTACATTTGTATTCCTTTTGGGTGACCAAGTATGATCATACTCAGAAAGTCTCAAAATGAAATTTTGTTGTACAATAACAATAAAGAGCGTTCCATTTCATTATTGATAATTATCTGTTCCATATCAATATCGCAAGACTATTTTTGATTGTGTCGCCCAGCCCTAATGAGAAATCCCTTAGCATAGAATTCCCAGCATGCTCTATAGGCCTGGACAACATCAGTCCTCTTTTGGAGGCTACTGTTTGCTCATGTATGTAGACGGCTACCGGTCACTGGCTAAAAGCGCCTGCTGTGGTGTGTCTCCTCCCCGTGTAGAGAAGGACAGGCAGGCCTGGGACGTGGACCAGAGCCTGATAACCAAACTCAAGGAGCAATACAGAAAGGAGCGCAAAGGCAAAAAGGGGGTGAAGAGTAAGTGGACCTGGCCACCTCTGTCCTCTCCTTTCTCTTCTTCTCTCTCTCTGAATCTGAAAAAGATCAAGAATGCGGTTCTTTAAATCAGAAAATGTTTTTAGCATTTTCTCGCTGTCGGCTGGATTTCTTTGCTGGTGCTTCTTTTTCCTGAGTTAGCTCTGTATGCGTGGGGAAAGTCAGCGTGCGTGTTTGTCTTTTGTCTCTGTTTCTGTCTGTCCGTGCCTCTCTAATCACAACTTTACCTTCATTTCTTCATCCATCTTTTCTTCTATGGCTTTTATGTCCTTTGATGGTTCTTCTCAAAGCGTTGGTCTCATCCTGCCATTTTTCACTCCACTTAATTTATTCCTGTCTTTCTTTTCCCTCTTGTTGGCTTTTTTTTACTGCCTCCTGCCTTCGCTTGTTCTGTACACTGTACTGTTTCTTGATGATTCATTTTGCTGCGAGGTATCTTTTAAAGCTTCTTTTCTCTGTGCTGCTGGTGAATTTAGAGTTATATGCTGTTTCTTCCTATCTTCTTCTGGGGCTTAGCTCTCTTTCTACAAGGACCCGGCCGATATATCAGTTGGCCAAAAAAAACTGGTGAAAATACATTGAAAGTATCACCACTAATAACAGATTTAGCACAGTCTGTAGGGCAAAAGATAGTTGTACCACATGGTAACCCTGTGTGAAGCACCCCTGTTGAACTATAAGACAGCAGTACAGACTGAGCTGATAAAAATAAGGATGAGAATAACACACACCAGTTGCTTATGGAGCTAATGTTAATAAGATAAATAAAAGAAGAGGTAGCTAACAGAAACTGAAACTGCAAACCATTCTGTCTAGCTCCACTCCCAGTGCTATGGAAAATGGATGTCAGTAGAACTTGAACTTAAGTTTAAGAAGGGTGACGGTTAAGAACTGATATTCCTATCTGCCAGTAAAGCACTGTTTACCTAAAACTGATGTGGTATAAAGTCAAAATCTTACCAACATAACCTTATCAACATAAACTTATATCGTCCATAATGATTGGTTATTGGAATTTTTAGCACCTTAAAATCTAGTAAAATAATCAGTATCTGGCACAAAATGTTCATATCGGTCGGGCCCTCCTCTGTACTGATTGTTGTATGAGCAGGTTGCTTTCACAGGCTCTTTCTTAAATTTTCTTTGAATGCTGATTCTCTTCCTTCACTTTGCTTTGAGGTTGACTGAGGCTGTGTAAATCACCAGTGGCTGCACTGACTACAGCTATGTTCCTCACAACAACTGATTTTGCTAATTACCTTCCTTTTTTTGAAAAGAGGGGATTTTATTAGTGAAATCAGGTTTGTAGGGTTGGAACATACGCCGCTTTTTCCCCCAAGGTCAGGCCTGACGGCTCCCTGTAGTGCACAGTTTTATGGTTTCTCCAGTAAAATAATTATTACCAGATTATCATCGTCATTTTAGTCTCGTCCCTGTCATGTCAGCAGCGTTTTACAAACTGCATAACCACGTCGTTAAAGATTATGGCAGCTTGTACCTAACATTAAATGAACTGTAGAATAATTCTTGGTTGTATAAAGTGGGTAAATTTACATTTGGGATCAATATTCTGTCATATCATTTGGGAAAGGTGTTTGTTTGTTCTTAAGTATAGAGGCTTTTAAGCAAAACTTACCGCAAGTTAACAATGGAAATGAAAACCTGTTTGAATTTGGGTTTTGGTTGTGGGCTGTGAACTCCCTACCTAATGACAACACTAATTATCATTAGACTTCCTGTGCAATCTTAATGGTTTTCCAGTGCATACTGCAGTTCAAATGTTTCTTTAAATTAAGAAAAAAGGCCTAAAGCCTTTTTTGGCCAGCAAGCCCAGCACATCCATTTTTTCAGGCTTGAGGCTTGAATGCTGAACGTAGTGTTCCAAACCAACAGTTCACAAGCTCTGCATTATTACATTCTCCACTTTCAACTTAAGACAACAGTAAATAATGTAGGATATAAATAAAATTGCAGATCTTTTAAATTGCAGTTTTGTAAAAAATATTAATCTTTCAGCCCTACCGTTGGTTCATTTTTCTGGAATGAAGAGGCGATGTATTGTATATATGTTCATATTTTAAAACTATGATTAGCGTTAATGTGAAAGTGATTTTTCTCTAGTAGTATTAAGTGGGTATGCTGGGAGGTGGAGGTGATATTATTGGTTAATGTTATTTTCCCTGCCCGCTGGTGCACAGTGACAATCAAGAATCAGACATGTTAGTGGCAGAACAACGTTGGTCAGTCATTACAGGTTTATGGGAGATTTTTGAAAATATGATTTATATAACCAGGGACATGAACTAACAAGGTAAAAAATTGTCCACTTTGATATCAGGTTGACTTTAGCATGTGTCTATTTGTGAGCGGCAGAGGCTACATATTACTTATGGAACTATTTTGGTTTAAAGACGTTATATAAATTGAGTTGGCATGCCCACCTCTATTGTTTGTACAGATATCTCTTACTGAACTGGTCAGAAACATTACAAGCACCCTGTGGTAACATTACATATTACTGCATATATCCGACTTCTGTCATTTAGTTAACTGATTATCCTTCATGAGCTAAATCAGGTGTATTAACACGGAAAACCATGAAACTGTGCAGTGCAGGTAAACTACACAGTAAAATTGGAAGCACGGTTGTGGACTCTGCAGTCTTCTTTGAACTCAGTATCGATGCTCCATATGTTCTCCTATCAGTTACTTGATTAAGCACAGCTTTTACAACAAATAGAACACTTGTGTTTTGTGAAACTCCTTTACAGTCAAGCTATTTACCCCAAAGGGCTTGTAGGAACCAGTGAGAGTTTGTGGTTTATTTATCTCTGCTGTTTTCCAGACAGTTTGACTTATTTCTTTTGGAGAGGGCTCACTGCTTTCTTCCCTGCAGCTTTACATTGGCCCATTTTTCAGTTCCAGCTCCCAGAGATACATAGAACTTGTTTTTCAGCATCAGGACAAGAAGCAGAAAATATATTTAACAAAAAATTACACAAAAGCTACATCAAAAAAATATAAGGTTTTTAGCATTTAGTGTGTCTAGTCTTTACCTTTTATTACAGCTGCCTTTCTTTTTCCATTTCCACTTGCTTTAAGTTTTTCCAAGAAATCTGCAGGGATATTTTTCTACACCTCCAAAGTTCAGTCTTAGAAGTTCGTTGCACTTTCTGCTTCTCATGATCCAAATAATCCCGTTTGCAAATTTGGACCTTACTCCACAACTCAGATGTCCATTTTTGTCTGTTGTAGAGCAGATTTTCTTCTTTTTTGTCCATTTCCTTTTCTCAGTAATGGCTTAAGGACAACTACACATTTCTCAAAGATGAAAGATTTACGTTTTATTCACATTGATTACTGATGGTGACAGTTTTGGTGGTCTTGCTTGGTTGTTAGGAGTCACATTTTTCTCTGTAGCTTTTAACACATTTTTGACTCCAGTTTTGGAAACTCTCACTCACTTTTCTTTCACTTATTATTGAATTTTATCATCCTTAAGCTAGAACCTTATGTCTAATCTCCTGAGAATCTCCTTTAGCCATTTTAGATTCGTACTGAAAATAAATTTTAAGGCAGCTGTGCTGTGTTTGGGTTGTTGCTTGTGTAAATGTTAGTGTCTCTTTGAAGATTAACATGATGTCATTGACACTCTTCAGAACAAGAGGGTGGACCCGTTAGTATTGTTTAGCATACATCAATAAAGTCTGAGCATTGAAACTGGACATTTTTGGAGTTTCAGACACAAGCCAGTTTTGTTCTAGCAATCTGCTGCTGCAGCCTAAAGATTGTGTAGGACCTTGAAAAAGGAACAGTGAAGGGGAAAGGTGAAAACAAGAGATGTTCTTCTTGCTGAAAGAGCTGTGCTTTGCCTTGTTCCTCCAGAGAAAACTGTTCTGTTCACACAGAACTTTCTCTATCCTTCGCTCTTTGTAGATGACTGTTGCTTTCTTTCTCCCTTAATGGCTATTCATTCAGTGACAGACTAATATCTCTCCCTCTCTCTCCCTCCTGCTCCCTCTCTCTCTCTCTCTCTTTCTCTCTGTCTCTCTCACAGGGCCGAACCGCACTAAGCTTCAGGATATGTTGGCTAATTTGCGGGACACTGAGGAGCCGGCTTCGCTGCAGCCGTCCATCACGCCCCCGCCTAGGCCTAATGCTAACCGCTTCAACGAACATGACAGCAGCCATGCTGATGAAGGTGCTCTACCTCCAGCTCAGAGACTAAAATGTTCCTTTATTCAACACTAACCAAAGGTCTTGAATGTAAAGGCAGAACTTGGGCCCTATGGATTCCATTTTCACAGAATAATAGAACTAAAACACACACAAAACAGTATTTCTACATAAACATGTAATTGCACAGCATGGTGCTCCATTACAACCGTACAATTTGATATACATGCGTCTGTTTCAAGCTTTTCGCTTACTGTGACCCACAAGAGTGGCATTCTTGGGAAAGTACACATCTATTGAATTTCGTCGACCATCAGACAAGCTTTAGCACAAAACCCTTCTCACTGACGAGAGTCCCAAAACACTAAGTAATCTTAATGGATTTTAGTGGAGATACGTCTCTTAGATGGAAATACTTGGCCAAATTTATGCAGTACTTGAAGCACAAGTCCTGAGAAGTGCACTTTATTGCAACTTGGAGTGTATGAGTTACTAATATTTATTTTTATTTTGAGATACTATGCAGCAGCAAAAAAAGAAAAAAAAGTGTTGCAGTTTTAAGTTTTGAATCTATGTAAATAATGTTGGTATCATAGGGTTAAGACATAAAAATGGAACAGTAAGTGTAGAAAGAATTAAAATGGAGTCCATAGGACCCTATAAGCCATTATAAAGCAAAAACCATGGGACACGTATTGTTTTACTTTTAAGGACCCATATGTGCCCACTCTTTAATACCTCACCCTCAGAACTAAACTCTCACTAACTTTCATATTAGTTTTATAGTGGTTACTGAATAATTCATAGTGGTTAGTGGAAAAATAATGTATAGTGGTTACAGAATAATTCATTCACAACATTTCATTAACAATTCTTAGCAGTTACTGAATAATTCATAATGGTTACTGAATAATTCATTGCAGTTCTGGAATAGGTCATATTAGTAACTGAATAGTTCATAGTAGTTTTGAATAATTCATAGTATATAGAATGTAATTCATAGCAGTTCAGGCATAATTCACATTTCGTTAACAATTCCTAGCAGTTTCTGAGAACTTCATAGTAGTTTCTGAATAATTCACAATGATTACTGAATAATTCATAGCAGTTCAGGAATAATTCATAATATTTCATAAACAATTCCTAGTGATTACTGAATAATTCCTAGTGATTACTGAATAGTGCCTAGCAATTCAGGAATAATTCATAGCATTTACTGAATAATTCCTATTATTTACTGAATAAATAGTAGTCCCTTAATAATAAGATCAGTAATTAATAATGAGGTTAATAACTAAATCGTAAGCCTGACATTAATTGATACTAATATTGTGTCATGGCAGCTGTGTTGCTGTGCAGTTTATCAGCCTGCATTTGCCCAAATGTGTCTGGATAAAGCAAAGCTGTATAAGAGAGAAATTGAATTTTGAATTTGGACTTAAACTTTGGGTTCATGGCTTACGTAACTCTCTTAGTCTCTGGAATTGACAGCACAGATCATCAAGAGATGACCTAACTTGCAGAGAGAACATGAAAAGAGGAGAGAAATGTTTTTAATAAAGAATGTGTTTTTATGTTTCAGTGGAGGCCATCACCTTTCCCCCTTCCTCAGGCAAAGCCTTCATCATCGGGACGGATGAGGCCATGGAGACGGGAGAGCTGGGCCTGGGCGAACTAGCTGGGCTGACCGTTGCCAATGAGGCTGATAACCTCGCGTATGATGTGAGTTTGAGAGAGCAGTTTAAAGCTGACAAGAGGAGACTTGTTTATAGAGGGCAAAGTTAGTGCATTGTTCCTCAGCAGCATTAGCATAATCTGCTAACTGTGTATAATTAACAGGAACATCTCCTTAACTGAAGCACTAATGACTCTCAGCAGCTTAGTGCTCAGTCAGTAATGTATCCTCACTGTGGTCTCTGACAGCTTTTGAATTTGATGTTGTGCTTGTAGTCTTGAAAAGCCCTTTATCTTTTTGTTGTCATTTATTTTGACTTTGCAACACTTGGCAAAGATTCAGAAGTGCAGACTTGAACCTGTCGATAGAGAAAATGTTAACATTTAATAATGTGACTAAGCAATTATACAGCTGTCTTACATTTGAAGAGTATAGCAAAAGACAGTAACAACTCCATACTTCTAAGAATTTTTCAGTCCAGAGGAAGACACTCCATTGGTTTTCAGTGATGTAAACAAATAAAAGCGAGTGCTTGTAGCTAACATCCAACACAACACAGAACATAATCAGTTTTCTGTACCCCTTTAGATCACTAATAACAAGGATGCTCTGCGGAAGACATGGAACCCCAAGTTCACGCTGCGCAGCCACTTTGACAGTATCCGCAGTCTGACGTTTCACCCTGTGGAACCCGTTCTCATCACAGCCTCTGAAGATCACACGCTGAAGATGTGGAACCTGCAAAAAACGACCCCTGCAAAAAAGTATGAGCACCCTCTAGTGGTTGGATACTAACTTTTTTGTGCTAAGATTTTACAGAAAAGTAATACAAATTTACATATTGTAGCTTACAAATTTGTAGCAGGAGAAGGACGTTTTTAATTGTATAACATGAATATTAAAATGTTAAATATTAATATATTAAATATTAAATGCAAAAGGGTTTTTTTCCCCAAGTAATTTTGGACCATTTCTGTTGATCCATTCATCATGAAATTTTAACGCATTGGGCAAATGGCATTTTCAAATTCTGTTACAGAATAAAAGGAAGTAAAAATAAAATAGACATAGTAAATTTTGTCCCAACAGTGACAATATGATATGGCTTTTTCACCTTTCAGGTGCTTATTCACCAGACACTTACGTGCAGGACCTCACCTTAAATCTTAAGATTTGCAAAGGTCCCTTTAGGGGTTCAGTAGTTATACTTGTTTGTGCTAATTTTATTACTATGTGAATGTGATTTAGAGTTTACACACTCTTCTCTGAACAGGAATGCGTCGTTGGATGTGGAACCTATTTATACCTTCAGGGCTCATAGGTAAGTTGTACTGTTACTTAATGGGTCTTTAGAATCAAGTTATCTGGTTAACTGAGAAAACCCGCTTTGTGAAATCCCCTCAGATCTGTTTGTGGATATACATTTACTAGCCTGTATATGGATGATTCTACCAAATTAGTTTAAACTGCAGTCCCACAGTGTTAAAAAAAAGGTTTTAGTAGTTTAAGATTTTTTTAGTTATAAAGTGGAATGTTTAATCACTTGTTTTAATAAAATAAACATAATTAAGGTATAGGGTCACTTAAAGCAAAAGGACTTTAGTCTAAAGTCCAAGTCCGACTTGGAACCATTTCAGTCGAATGATCCATATATTTCTCATCTGAAATGTGTCTGCAGGGGTGCTGTGCTGTGTGTGGTGATGAGTAACACAGGAGAGCAGTGCTACAGCGGTGGAGAGGACGGCACCATTCAGTGCTGGAACACACCCAGCCCCAATATCGACCCTTACGACTCCTACCGTAACTCTCCTCTTCCATTACTATTCTCTCCTTGCAGCCTTTTTTATCCATCTGTCTTTTTTTTTTTGGTCATTGTATGTCTCTGTGGCTCTTCTTTTTCAGCACAGCTGCAACTTTCCATCACTTAGCCAGTCTTATAATTTTGTATAGCCATGTACAACAGGCCAAAAGTACTAAGGCAAGCAGGGAGCTTCAGAAATATTTTCAAGTTTGCAAACAGCTAACATTTCACAGTACAACCGACATCTAGTTTAACCAAAGTACCAGAAATAACGGCAATTGTACATTTTCTCTAGCATATTATATGGGAAGAGCATTCGCCTCCTTTGTATTCTATGTAAATGTTAATAATGTGACAGCCTTCCGTTGTATTGCAAATATATTTACTGAAATTTGTTACAGTTACAGTATTATGTTCATGTAATGTAACTGAAAACATAAGATACCAGGTTGCCCTAACACTAAATTTGTTGATCCTCTAATAGCAATTTAACAGAACAGTAATCTGGGTCTTACATTGTGTAAACTTATTATTAGATGTTCAGTTAACACAACATTTTAAGGCTGCCTTGCTTACTTTTGCCTTACCAAAGTTAAAGCCCATTTTTTCACAGTTCAAGAGTTTTATAGTCTTGTAGGTAATGCAAAGGATGGTAAATGGCTAAACTACTTGTGTTCTTTGTTTTAGAGCCATCGGTCCTGCGCGGGGCGCTGTGCGGACACACAGACGCAGTGTGGGGGTTGGTTCACAGCAGTGCTCACCAGCGCCTCCTGTCCTGCTCGGCTGATGGCACAGTGCGGTTGTGGAACGCTTCTAACCCTCAGGCAGCTCTTGCCATTTTCAATGAGAACAAGGGTAAAAGAGCAGTTAATGCAGTGCTATACTGCGTTTAATGTGTTTAAAGAATACCTCAGTCAAAAATGCAGTTGATGCTGACAGTGCATGAAAGCGAATAGCCACCAGTCAAAATCCATCTTTAGGAGTTTGACCAGTGGCTATTTGAAGTTACTCCAGAGTTTAGGAGCTACATAACAAAAAGACCTTCCACCAGCTGAGCTGTTTCAACAAATCAGTAAGATATACCAGAGCTAAGCTATGAAGAGCTTTAACTGTCATATGTAGGATATTGTAGTCATTGCAGAACGTGACAGGAAGCCAGCGTAGACTGAATAACAATGATGTAATAATATGCTCAAGCTTTCTTTTCCTGGTGGGCACATGGGCTGCTGCGTTCTGTACTGGTTGGAGCTAGTTTAGACAATCGGCAGGGCAAACAAGCGTTTATGTTACAGTAGTCCAATTTATTAGTTATGAAAATGTAAACTAATTTGTAATTACCAGCTTAAATTCTTTGTTCTTCTATTTATTTATTGTTATCACTTAACCAGGTCTCTAATTCAAGGCCCCTCTTTTTATTTATGAAATTAACTTATTTAATTCTTCTTTTTCACTGTATGTTGTTTGTTACTAGACCTGTCACAATCATTACAATTGTATTACATTACAATTACACCATTTTATTGTATATACTTTGTTACTTGGCCTATCACAATCTGATCAATTATTTGGGCTGATCGCAGTCAGTAATGTAGAAAGGTAGAAAAGGTAGAAACTGCATTTATTGAGACATGTCATGGGTTGTATGAAAACGAAAGTTTTATTTCTGATTGGTGTGATAACACCTTCAGCGGGCAGCAGTGAGTAATATTTGTTTATTTGAGAGCTGTTTCTGTCAGCTAGGAAGCAGCATAGCTATTAAGTAAGTTTGTAGACTTGTGCTTGGATAGTTGCATACAATTAACAAAGAATGCTGATTGCTAATCAGTTATTTAGATGCCAATTAATCGCCCAGGTAAAACTGTATGATCATAATTACTGTTACAACTGTTATAAAGTTAGTAAGTTTTCTTTGAGACCACTTGTTTTAGAATATTTGTTTATTATTGTAATTATTTGCTGTTTTGGTGCCCTCTGTGTGTGTGTGTGTGTGTGTGTGTGTGTGTGTGTGTGTGTGTGTGTGTGTCCAGAGTTAGGCCTGCCCTCTTCAGTAGATCTGGTCTCCAGCGAGCCTGCCTACATGGTGACTTCATTCACCAGCGGACGAATAGGCCTCTTCAACATGGAGACCCGCCAGCTAGTCCTCAACCTGGAGTCCACTGTTGAGCCTGGTAAAATCTCACACCTATGGAGGGGCACCAGGGCATTCATCAGAATTAGAACTAGATAATGGCTTTTCTTGGCATTCATGCTCTACCAGTTCCCAATTTGGAGTGAATTGTATTCCTGTGACATTAAACCTTTCACAAGATCACTTGGCATAATGTGGTGAAGGACTTTCTCTGTCTACAAATGAAAAACAATGCATGTCAAGCAGTGGAGACACTCAGAATTACTGACCTCTAAAAGATGCAGCATAATGGATTTAAACTGAAAAGCAGAACCTTCAAGAAGGACCAGGTTGTCCAGTATCGTATTGAAAAATTATTTAAGGTTACATTAACTGTTTGAAGTGGTTTTATTTAGGAAAAACACAAAAACCCCATTCCATTGCATTTGTACTGCATGTAGAAGCATTCTGTATGGAGGAGAATTAAATTATTTTAGGCTTAGTTGCAATAATTAAAGTGCGCAAGCAGAAAAAGCTATTTTATGTACTCATTTTGATCTTTTGTTTCTCTCTAGGTGCTTCCTGTCAGATTAATAAAGTTCTGAGTCACCCCACTCTCCCCATCACAATCACCGCTCAGGAGGACCGCCACATCAAGTTCTTCGACAACAACACAGGTACAGCTTTTTTCTGTCATCCCTTTTGGGGCTGTGTTTACTGTGCCATATTGCTAGAACTTGAGGTTGATTCTCAGTAGCACATCCCTGGATTGTAGCAAACAACATTTTGAATTCATCATGGTTGTGATGTCACTGACACTTATATTATGTAAAACATCTTGTGTATTTAAGCCAGCTCTAGACTTTTGAGGGCCCTAAACAGAATTCTTTTTGGGACACCCCCACCTTGCTAGCTGATGTACTGTAAAATTTAAAGGCTGACTAAAAACAGTGACTACCACAAGCTGTCTAAATTATGTAAATTTATAACTGACTAATTTGTGTATTGATGATGATTGGATGCTTGTTTGAGGTTCTAACAAGTTGCAGTTAAAATGACTGATAATCTCAGTGTTCCTGACCCAGATGTCTGTCTCACCACACACCACAAGTTCTTGCTTACCCAGCTAACCTTAAACTAAGATGGATCTAATCCTGGTGGTAGTGACGACAGCATTGCTTTGTGACTGTTATAAATGCTTCACTTTCTTTTTCCTTCCTTGACAACTCCTTCTCATGTTTCATGTGATTGGCTGTTTATCATAAACATCACATTTTCATGTGTGTGAGCACAAGTATTAATCACAGTCTGAGTATCTAAACATGAATTAATCACAGCTCCAGTATACACAGATCAGGCATAACATTATGACCTGTTTCTCTGCATACTTTGTTACACTCTTGCCTTGTCAGTCCACCTTGTAGATGTAAAGTCAGAGACGATAGCTCATCTGCTGCTGCACAGTTTGTGTTGGTCATCCTCTAGTCCTTCATCAGTGGTCACTGGACGCTGTTGACTGGATATTTTTGGTTAGTGGACTATTCTCAGTCCAGCAGTGACACTGAGGTGTTTAAAAACTCCAGCAGCACTGCTGTGTCTGATCCACTCAGACCAACACAACACACGCTAACACACCAAGACCACATCAGTGTTACTGCAGTGCTGAGAATGATCCACCACCCGAATAGTACCTGCTCTGTGATGGTCCTGTGGGGGTCCTGACCACTGAAGAACAGGGTAAAAGGGGGCTAACAAAGTATACAGAGAAACAGATGGACTGCAGTCTGTAATTGTAGAGCTACAAAGTGCACCTATATAGTAAGTGGAGCTGATAAAATGGACAGTGAGCATAGAAACAAGGAGGTGGTCATAATGTTATGCCTGATCGGTGTATTTCTATGAGTATCTGGATTAACAGAGAAAGATGTTAACCTCTGTTGTACAAGAAGTTAACCATGTCTGTGTTTGTTAGGTTCTGTGAAGCTGAAACTCAGTCAGAAAGCCAAAGTTGATCTTGCTTCATTAGACATACCCCAGATCCCCTGCTTCTTGTTATCCAACTACAAAGCCAAAACAAATGACATAACGTTAACACCAAATAGCATAACATTCTTTTCTGAGACATGATTACCCAGTTGCCCCCCACCTTATTCGGGCACCTTATACAACATAATGTGATAGTAATTCTGAGAAGTTGTTAAGGTTCCCTGATGTTGTTGAAAAAGAATATAATAAAAAGTCTGTTTAAGCCTCTTAAATATGTCTTGTAAAGCTATGTGGTTAGCTGCAGTGTCTGCGGTTTATATTCCTGATTAGAGCCATACTGGATGTGAGCTGAAATGTTTGATTCTGCTTTTGTTGTTCTAACAGGAAAATTGATCCACTCCATGGTGGCCCATTTGGATGCTGTTACAAGCCTTGCTGTGGATCCAAATGGACTGTATTTGATGTCTGGAAGTAAGTGCTAGGACACCACATCTCTTCCGATTTATGGGATTTTAAGGGAGACAGACAGAGAGAGAATTTGACTGCGTGAATCATTACCAAGCTTGGCTAATAAAATGGCTACCACTATCTTTTTTTTAGTGTTAGGTAGTGTTTTCCCCTGAATGCTGCAGTGAGCCAGAATGTTACAGACAATTGCATTAGTATCCTCATAGAGTGCTCTAGAATGATAAACAAAGCAGTAGAGCTATATGGCTGGTCCCAAAATAATTGAAGAGCTGTAGAGCATTGAAAATAAATTTGTAATAAAATTAATATTTGAAACACCTTGCAGTCATATCTCAAGGCAGATAACTTTACCAAAAATATTACAGATAGAAAATAACAGTAGGTAATTTATCATTTAATAACTTCTTGTCTGTCTGAAAAATCCATGAAAAGTTAAATGAATCTGTCTGACTTCCCCCTCGCAGGCCACGACTGCTCCATCAGGCTGTGGAACCTGGAGAACAAGACATGCATCCAGGAGTTCACGGCGCACCGTAAGAAGTTCGATGAGTCTATCCACGATGTGGCGTTCCACCCGTCTAAGTGCTACATCGCCAGCGCTGGAGCGGACTCCCTCGCTAAAGTCTTCGTATGAGCAGGGAACGGCCTGCCTCACGCTAGCCCTGCCCACCAGAACGGACTGGCCAGTGGCAGAGAGCTGGCGTTTGGGCCAGGGTGGGTGGACGCCCTGCTCCCTAATCTCCACTCCTCTCCTGTTTTTCAAATGGTTCAGCTGAGAGGCTTTCTGAGACTGATGAGACCGGACGGACCATGGGGCGGTCTTTTTTGGACAACCAGATGGGAGAGGGCACTGTCCAGGGTGATTTGATTCCCCAGTTACCTCCTCTACAACAGTCCAGGCAGGCCTGGGTGCTCGTGGCCTTCGTGCCGCAAAATCAACTGTAAAGCAGACACTTCCATAACCGGGATCCATAGCCAACCATAGAGTGTACACAAAAAGAGTGATGCTGGGGCCTAAGCACATTTTGGGCCAGAATGCTTTTGACCGGCTGTGGCTGTTGTGTAGAACTAGCAACACTTCTGTCTTTCCCAGTCTTCCCTCCTTCCCTACCCTTACAGCCCCAAGTGCTGCGTGCTCCTCAGTTTCTCCAAGTGCTGGTTAGCTTTTTGCTAATCGTCAACTCCTCAGCTTCCTCTTCTGCTTAGGGCCGAGGAATTCTGGCAAGGCATGGAAAGAAAGGCTGGTTTCGGGCCGTCGTGGAGGATTTTCTCTTCCACGCGCTGCTTCCGCAACAGTTGACCTTCTGCCTGCCTTTTGTTTTTTTGTTTTTTCTTTCCTTTTTAAATGTTTATTGACAAATGTGCCTTTGCTTCAGAAAGGTCTTGAAATGTTATTTTACCAAGCTCTTTTTTTCTTTTCTTTTGTGAAGGGTTGGGAAATGGACAATAGGAAAAGAATTCGGGCTGGGTAGGACAATGTTGTCCATTTTAACCGTATAGTACATTGGATGTATAATTACAATACGTATTAATAAACAAATATATATAAACAAATTATTATATATATTCACTCTTAAATCTTAACATTCAGTGGGACTTTCGAGTGCTCTTTTTTGATACTTGTTGATGTGTGCGTGGTATGCAGTGAATTGCAATGCTGGCAGTTTTAGAAACCCTAATAAGTGAACCTCTTTTGTTGTCCATAATTGTTGGATACAGGTTAAAGCTGAAAGCATAGAATATCTCATATCTCCAAATAAATCAAGGGTTGTCAACTCTAAATGTTTTTCCTAGTGTTTTATGGCACGATTTTGTTTACTGCAGGCACACTCAGGGGAACGCTATGGGTAAGGGAGTATTTTGCTGATGGCTTGGTCTCCTGAAATTAAAACATTTGGGACACAGTGGAAGCATGGGAGAGAAATGGCAGTCATGTGGTATTGGCCCACAGATGACATGCATTTAAATAATAGTAGAAATCAGTTGAAATGCTTTTGTATATACAGTACATTCAGAAAGTGTTCAGAACCTTATTTTCCTGCAACAGCCCTATTTCTCATTGATCGGCAAAAAATCCTCTGTAATAAAAAAAGAATAAAAATGCTTTCACAGAGTTTAATAATAAAAAACTCATTAAATTGACTCAGTACATTGCTGAAGCAGCCTTGGCAGCAATTACAGCATTTTTGCTACAAGACCTTGGCACAAAATGGTTTAGGAATTTTCTCCCATTCCTTTCTTCAGAACCGCTCTTTCATGTCAGTAGCGCTATTAATCAGGTTTCTCTGTAATTTGATGCATTCATTGCATTTGTGCATTCAAGATTAATTTCCTTTGATCTTGACAAGCTTCTCTATTGCTGCTGTTAAAAATCATCCTCATAGCACAGTGCTACCACCACCAGGCTTCATTGTAGAAATCAAATTGGCCTGGTTTCCTTCAGATGCAGCAATCTTTCCATTCAGGTCCAAGAGTTCAAGACTAGATTACAAAATCTTGTACTTTTTAGGTGCCTTTTTCTATTTTTAAGTGAGCAGTTATGTGTCTTTTGCTGACGAGTGGCTTTTTCGTCTGGCCACTCTTCCGCAAAGCCCTGATTGGTGGCGCTGCAGAGCACTGTTTGTCCCTCTGGCGGGTTCTCCCATCTCCACACAGGACCTCTGGAGGTTCTTGGTCACCTCCCTGACTAAAGCCGTTCTGCTCCTTTTAGTCAGTTTCACTGGGTGGCCAGTTATAGAAAGGAGTGGGATGCCAAACTTATTCCATTTAAGAATGCTGGAAGTCACTGGATCAGGATCTTCAAAATTTTTTGGTACCTTTTCCACAGCTCTGCTTTGACACAGTCCTGTTTTGGAGATCTACAGACAATTCCTTTGACTTCATGGCTTGTTTTTTTCCTCTAACATGCACTGTTACCTGTGATGCTTCAAATAGACACAGGTGTGCCTGCAGTCATGTCCTGTCAGCTTAGTTTACCACAGGTGGGTTTAAGTCAAGTTGTAGAAACTCTTCAATGATGATCAGTAGAAACAGGATGCACCTGAGCTCAATTTTAAGTGTCATAGCAAATGGTCTGGAAGTAATATTTCTGTAAAAGTAATATTTCAGTTTTTACTTGTAATAAATGTACAAAACTTTGTGAAAACCTGTGTTTATGTATATTATGTAAAAAAAAGATAAATGAGTGAAGCATTAATATAAAATGAGGAAAAGGTGGACCAGGTGGACTAAATAAGCACATTTGGTTTGAAGAATTATGAAAATTGACCTGATCACTCACTCTTAATTATTTTCATGCATAATTAAGATGCCCAGGCCTAAAACATGGAAATATGAAAGATGAAACAGGGAAAACTCTTACATAAAAAAACTCTTACTCTATTATAATAAAGCAAAAAAAAAAACATACCAGTGACCCAAAAAGAATAATTATTCTGATGTGTTGCTACGTCACATCTGGGTTTTCTGACGAGTTATGATTGCATCAATTAGTGCAAGGAGTGAGCTCAAGCTTGTTCTTGAACACAATTTGAGGTGATTTACAGCTAAAATGATTAAAAGATACAGATTTTCAGTCTTAATTTTGCATGAAAAATGCACACAGTGTCACGAAGGTGAAGCACCATTCTTATAATGCTCAAAAAACTATGGAGCGCCCCCTTGTGGGGAAATGATTGTGAGTGAGTAGTCAGGCAGTTAGTGACACAGACAGACTGGTAGGTCCAATGTAATACATACCTGCAAAAGATTTTTTAACTTGAAGCAGCTACTTGCTGACCCTCTGGGCGTATTTAGCTTCACTCGCTTTACGTTCATCAAAGGCCCAATCCCATTTCACCCTTTTCCCCGACCACTTAGCCCTTACCCCTCTGTTTTGCACGTCCACGCTTACAAATAGGGTGTCCCGTTTTTTTTTAAGGTAGAGGGGTAGGGCGAAGTGTTAGGGCTACATGGCCCTCCAAACAGGATTTTTCAGAGGCTCCCTCCAAACGTACCAAACAGAGTGTTAGGAGAAAAAAAAAACTGGCAACATGGCACGAGACCAAAGAAACCCAAAATGTGTATTTTATCTGTTAAAATTACAATAAGCGGGTATTAACTTAAGGTAATTTCAGTGTATTATGGTCATTTTCTTCTTAACAAGCATAAAAAATCCCTAGTAGAATGCTGAGGTCTCGGTAGCTAGCTTTCAGGTTCCACCTTAAATGGTGCAGCCGTTACATTCTGGCTCTTCAGGGATCAGAACTACTGCACCATTTAAGGTGGAACGGGAAAATTCGAACAAGAAGCTGGTGAACAGCTGACTTCAGCTTCATTTCACTCAAGAATTAGAGGAGGGCAATGATAAATAATGATCGCATCCCCGTCTTTGAAGGTATATGATTTCTTCAATTAAACTAAAGACCAGCAGCGAGCTTTACCGCTCCTCTGCTATCACTGCAGACTGGCAGGGTGGCCTACAGAGCACCGCTAGCAGCCCGTAAATGATGTTCTTTATTGGACGTTTGTCCCATTTCAACCACTATCCCGCGTAACTTAGGCCCAAGGGGCAAGGTGACACTCGAAAACAAGGGGTAGAGGTGAAAATAAGAAATGGGGTTATACCAAAGGATCTTCCTTGGTATGAAGTGCAGACTAAGTAATGATTTTTTTTTCCAAACCATTCTCAGAAGCACATTTTAAAACTCTTGTTCCAAAGGTGGTTAAACCTGCAAAGGGTTTGTTAACATAACACATTTTTAACGGTTTGGGTATGTTTTGCCTTTTTACTCGGCTTCAGGTTCATTAAAGTGTCTTCTAGCAGGGCAGGTCTTGCCTACATTATAAGCCAGTAGACTGTTAAAAGCACTTTAATAGCTTTTTGGTCTCAGTGTGGTTAAAACCTTTGGCCTTTGGTTGTATTCCCAGTGCAGCAGTTTTAACAGTTGTTTCTTTAGTTTTACATAAAAAAGTTCTGAGATCTAAACAGCTTTTTTTTTTGAAATGTCAAGTTATTGCATGCATAAAGAAAACATGTTCATTTGTATTAAAAGTATTTTGAAAAACTGGACCAAACTGACGAGGAGTGTAGTGTTTAGCAGAAGACGAACAGACATAAAATCCATTTTGAAGTGTTGAATGAATTTCTCTTGTCCATCCATCAACTGTGGATGAGATCTGGATGTGGAAATGAAACTGGATGAAGTTTGATTTTGTCGTAGAGTGCTTTGCTCTTTCCATAATGTTCCTTCTGGCCTGTACTTTTAATCCAGCTATGGCGGCAGGCACGGACCATGACATTTCTTCGACCAGTCATTTTCCTCTTGGATGGTTTCCCATGAGGAACTCACTTAATTAAAGCATCCGAGTTTATGGTTTTATTTCCTTAATTCCCTTTTCATAATGCATCCACAGAGACTCTGAAGGTCATGCAAGACTGCCTTCCAAAGCCTCATGGCTCAGCAGAACTTGAGGAAGGAATGAAACGCATGGTCAGAGGTAAAACAATCAATTTTACAGTAATTACAGAAAACATGAGATATTATTACACAGTTCGACTACAGAGACGTTTATTCAGCGGTTTTCCTACTCAAATAAAGATTACAGTCAACCAGAGTGTAAGAACCTTGCAAATCGAGTGACCTGTTAACCTTCAGTTTAACTTCAGTTCCATCACAATGAGCACAAAGCACTTAAGCCCCTTTACAGTCTGCCAAGTGCAGTGCTAATTAACCTACATTAATTCAGGGTGAGGACGGGCTATGCAGATATGGGACGGTGTTCGGAAGAGTCATTATGCTTCCAACAAGTGACTCGTGAAGCTTCTGTTTAAAAAGCTTCGCTGCTTTGGCTGCAGACACTTGCTGAGCAGCAGGGATGGAGGTGAGTGCTTTATATTGCTTGAATTTGCATGGACCAGGTTATATGCAAATTTATGTTTCTCATTTTAAGTGTTAAAGAGTGTGTTATTTGGTTTGTTTTGATTTGGTATAAAGCAGAAGCGAGAAGTTGGAGCTATGCTGCTAACCCATAGCACACCACTTACAAAAACCAGTTGAAGCAGAAGTTAGGACAAGACTGAATGCTTGAGGCACAAGCTGTTCTGTACAAAAGTGAGAGACCAGACTTTATTTATTTAATTTTTTTATTTAATTTACTTTCCTGTAAGTTGTTTTTTTTTCCTCAATGTCAGGAAAAATAGAAAACAAATAACAGAAAACCATTCAGAAGCTTCAACAATATGCATTTTCTTTATTAAAGCTTCCATCTTTTTTGAGAGACTTTATTTGAGTTTTTCCAAAAAATCTGCAGGAATATTTTTCCACCTCCAAAGATCAGTCTTAGAAGTTGCATTTTCTGCTTTTCACAATTCATTCATTGTGTTTCTCTCTCTTTTAACATTTCCTTGTTTTGGAAACTACTTTTTCACTTATTTAATTAATTTGATGTTTCCCTTCCTTTTGCAGCCGAATCATTTTCGTATCTAATCTTCTCATAAATATTTTGGGGAAAAATGAATAACTTGTATGTAATGGTCATTTCAACTGGAAATGAAATAAATGAAAGGTGGTCTCTTACTTTTGCACTTTATTCTATACTACCAATCAAAAGTTTGGACATACCTGAGCGCTTTGATCTAATGGTTTCAAATGTTGCTGAAAAGTTTTAAAGACAAATTTAAAAGAGAATAAAGAGCGAACCACAATTTCCAAATAAATGTTGCACATTTTCTGACGTTGTATTGAGTTCAGATCTTATTGGTGAGTTTGCTGTTATTTACATCAGCTAAAGCCAGAAATGCTCTGACATTTTTTCCAAATACCTGAGCGGAGGTGGGTAGTGACTAGCTCCATTCACTCAGCTTCACTTAAGTGAAATACTGATGGATGTGTATCTTCAAAAGATAATAATTCTACTTCTGCCTAAGTATATTTCTGAGAAATGGAAGCTAAATTTTACTCACCTACATGTTTGGTGTACAGTTAGAGACTGTAGCTCATCTCTTGATGCACATTTTGTGTTAGCCATCCTCTAGGCCTTTGCCCGTGTTCAGTTTCTGACCACAGAGCCGCTCTTGGCTGCATATTTTTGGGTGTTGGCCCACTTTCAACCTATCAGTGACACTGAGGTGTAAAAACTCCAGCAACATCCCTCTTTATCTTGTCCCTACCATGTCAGAATAATAATAATTATCCAATCAACAGCGGTCCTGTGCTCAGAAACTAACCAGTGATGAATGGGGTAGAGGGGGGCTGATAAATTGTGCAGATGGGCTACAGTCTGTACACCTGTTTAGTGGACCTAGAAGGTAGGATGGGCTTATGAAGTGACCAGTGAGTGGAAATGCATGTAATGAAGAAATCAGACGCTGAATAATTGTACGGTTATGATGTGAAGTGATGGAATCTTTTTTTTTTAGTTTTAGAACAATACTATAATAATTGTGTTGATGGTCTCTAATGGAGTATGGCCTGGGGGTTAGATGTAGAGTGGTTTCATTTAAACAACTACACTGGAACACTGTGTGATGTGTGCACAGTCTATTCTCTTGGTAGTCTTCCCCTGCGGAGAATGTGATGTGAATTTAATTGAGCCGCTTCGAGCGATGAGCTAAGAAGCATGAGTCAGCGGTTTTAGCTTTTCATACATGATTTATACACTTTTACTGGAAAAAATGACCACCAGATATTATCACATTATAGTGTTATTTCAGCACTGGGGATTTGAGCTCGTTTCTTTTTGCTCATATAAATTCTGTTAGCTTCTTTTGAGTAATCTATAACTGTTTGGCTTCCACATTTTGTATTTACACCTGTATTTACACACTTGTCTCCACACACACCAGCCAACTTTTTTTACACCTGCCCCCTTATCCTGGCCATCAGTGTCCATCATTCAACCACTACTGACCAGCAGGGTGGAACAAGTGTATATGGCAGAGTGGTGTTTTTTTTTTTTTTTATGCATTGTGTGCACTTACCAGCCACTTTATTAGAAACACCTTGCTAGTGTTAAGGCCGTTTTTCCACTGCATGTCAAAAAATAAGAACTGCCCAACACGTTAACCAACAGAAATTACTGTTCTAGTTCACTTTCCATCTGCTTGAGAAAGCTGAAACCAGAATAATAACTGTGACTGATTTAACTCATTTTGTTCATTTACTGGTACTCT